ACATGTTTGATATCAGAGTCATTAATTTTCTAAAAACATTTGATATGATCTGATATACATGATTTAAAAAAATTCAAAATGTTAGAAATGGTCAATGTTAGAGGCTATGACAGAGAACATCTACTTTCCCAAATTAAAGGTACAAGTTAAAGGATAAATATTTTCTTCCAAAGTTAAATGCTATACAAATCTCTGGTGAGGTTAAGTACCTGTAAAGAAAAATCATCCCTTGCTTCTCTTTGGAGAAAATAGTACTGCTTTATCTGATACTGAGAAGATATGACCTTGAAATATCCTGACTTATCATGGGAACTTTGAGCTATTACTATTAGTTTAAAAAAGATGAAAACAAAAAGGAATAATGTTTGTGAGAGGAAAAAGTACCTGGCAATTTCTTTTCTCTGTGCTCCAAGAAATTGCTTTTAAATGCCACAAAGGGAAAAATATTTTTGGTAAATAAAATTGGAGCATAAACTTCATGATTTATCTCAGGTCTACAGGAAGTTGTGTGATGTTTAATTAAGATGTGTGATGTTAAATGTCTAAAAAGTAGTTTTGGTTGAAAGAGTTCTGGTGTGAATGAGGTCCCTGGTAATGCTGCATTTTCCTTTTCAATGTGCATGGATACATTTTACATTTTTAGCTATTTGATTGCTTTTCAGATGTAGTTCTCTATTCTGTAATGACTGCTTGTTAAGAGTGTGAGCCTGAGAAACGAAGTGCTGCAAGACTCACCTCTTCTGTTCCTTTGGGGAGTGCCGCCCCCCTCAAGACCAGGCCAGTGATGGGCAGGGACTGTGCCTCTCTCTTTCCAAGCCCATCAGACAAGTCATTGATCTCCTTGTGCCTCACTTCTCTCATTTGTGGGATGGGGGTGGGGTGGGGTATCTGTACTAATGAACTCAAACATCCCTCCCAGAGCTTAAAACACTTAACAATTCAGTCAAACAAGAAAGTGTTATTTTGTTCAGGTTTTTTTTTCTTTTTGGTGTTTACTGTTGGTTTGGGTGCAATAGTGAAATAGAAACTTAGATTTTGGTGGTTATTGTCTAAAATTAGTCTGTTAGTGAACAAAGTAAAACTGAAAGAACAAAACAGCAGCAGACTCATAGACTTCAAGAAGGGACTAGCATTTACCAAAGGGAAGGGTTTAGGGAGGGGGGGTTGGGAGCGTGGGAGAAGGGATTAAAGGGCATTAAAATTAGCACATGCAATATAGGTAGGTCACAGAGAAGACAAGTAATAATTTTATGGCATCTTACTATGCTGATGGACAAAAACTGCAATGGGGTAGGGGGGACTTAATAATATGGGTGAATGTCGAAACCACAATGCTGCTCATGTGAAACCTTCATAAGAGTGTATATCAATAATACCTTAATTAAAAAAAATAAAATTAGTCTGTTAGAAATTCCATATGAATATTAACAATCAGAATGAACTAAGCTTACTGTGATTTTAGTCCACATCAGAATTAATGAAGGGACTTAAAAGCAAATGTGTGTAAATTCTACTTATTTATAGCATTTAAGTTAGATTAGGAATTTAAATTCAGACTCTGACGCTGAGTCCAAGAAAGCCTAGTATTTATTAAACAGAAAACAGATTGAAATTCATATTGATTCAGAAGTTGGAATCTATACATTTTTAAGTCAAACTTATTAGTGTGTAATTTAAATACAGTAATACTCACCCTTCTGAGGAGTGCAGTTTTGAGTTTTGACAAATGTATACAATCAAGTAGCCATCACCACAATCAAGACAGAATGTTTCCATCACTCCTCAAAAGTTCCTTCATGTTTTCTGTAGCCAATCCTTTCCTCCCACCCCAGGCTCTGGCAACTACTCATTTGATTTCTGTCCCTATAGTTTTGCCTTTGCCAGAATGTCATATAAATGGAATCCCTATGTTTTATGAGCAAACATAAACATGAGATATGAGAAAACATCCTTGGTGCATAAGCTGTTACTGTTCAATCACTGGTGAATTTTGTTTAATCCCGGGACATACCCTAGTTTCCAGGTAGGCTAAACAAACTTTCCTGCTGCTGTTGAGTCTCTCAGCTGAAGTCATCTCTCCATGCCTAGCCCTGCAGGTTATGTTCTCTTCCTTTTTTTTTCAACTGAAAAACCTGATAAATAATGGATAATGGAAATGAAGTTGGGCTTACTGAGCTTGAGATTGAAATAAAAGCCTTCTTGGGATTACGGGTAAGAAGAAACATAACATGTTTGGTAAGTTTTTTTTTTCTTTCAGGGTTATGCACGTTCTAATAAATCAAGTCAACTTATCGTAAAGATAGCTGGGAAGGAACAATAGAACATAAGAATAAAGAGTCAACGGTCCTGAGCTATGAAGTAAGCAACCATTGTCATAAACAAAGCAACTCACTCTCTCATGACCAAGTGGCACATGGCAATTGCTAGAAGTAGTAGGGGATTGCTGTGTGTATTTACTGTCAGGCCTGGGGCAGCTGGCACTGTGCTCCTGGCAGGACAGGGTTGGGCAGGGCACTCTGAGAATATGTTGATAGTCTGAAGACAGATTCTGACACTTGGAGGTTGTGTGAGTAATAAATAAACCACTGTGAACTGTCTTCATATCTCTTGCCCATTTTTGCACACAATTGGAGGGATATTTTTTCCTGTTTTTTTCTCTCTCTTAATGCATTGTGACAGGCACTACAGATAATTTTTCCATTTTATCATGTCTTAGATTTTCTATGGCATTGTCATAATCAAGTTATAAATATGTCATAATCAAGTTATAAAAAATTGTCATAATCAAACGTCTCCTCAGTGTCAAGTTAATCACTCTTTTCCTTTATTGCTTCTAGATTTTGAGTCAAAGATTATATAGAGGAATTTACTTACTTTCTTCTAATAGTCAGATGATTTCATTTTTTTATTCGCTGTGGTAGCCAGCCTCCAAGATGGCCCACAATGATCCCCACCTCCTTGTATTTTCATGTAGTCCCATCCCACACTGAATAGGGAAGTGTAATAGGATACTGTGGAAATGATGGAGTGCGACTTCTGAGGCTGGGTCATAAAAGCATCGTGGTTTCTTTCTTCCTTTCTCTTGGATCACTTTCTCTGGGGAAGTTCACTGCCAAGTATCAGAGACATTCAACTACCCCTAAGGAGAGGCCCATGTGGGGAGGAACTGAGGCCTCTGGCCAACAGCCATGTGAGTGAGCCACCGTGGAAGTGGATCCCCCACCCCCGAGTCAAGCCTTCACTGACATGCCTACCAAAATCTCGTGGGAGACACTGGGCCAGAACCATGCAGCTTTGAAGTTCTTGAATTCCCGGTTTACAGAAACTGTGAGATATATGTTTATTGTTTTAAGCCACCAAGTTGTAGAGGAATTTGTTAACAGCAATAGGTAATATATCCATAAATTAATTTTTTCCTGTGAGCATTCAATTAGAATATATTTGTATCGCTTTTGCTACTCAGGGTCTGTTCTTTGCTTCTATTTTGGTTCTTGGCTACAGCTAAGGTAACTGAGGGTTATAGGATGTGCTCTCTATATGCATGCATAAACTGGTGTTACATCATTGGAGAGCCTCCTGAGTAAGATGGACATGGCAGTGTGCAGTCTGGAGATGGTTCTGCATTGGTTAAAGTCCAAGCAAACTGCATCACTGTGCTATGCACTCCAGGTCTTGGTCATCTCATTCAGGAGTGACCAGCTTTTGGGAAAACTAGCTGATACTGAATTATACATTTTTAACTATAAAATGGTGTTATTTTACAATGAAGAGAATGTGTCCTTGCTGAAGACACTTGACCCCTCTATGAATAGTTTTGCATCTGTAAAATGGCAGTAGCTGTTTCCACCTTGTAAGGTTTTGTGAGGGTTATACAGTGTGTGGATTATACGAAGTTCCTAGAACTTCACACACAGTAAGGGCTTAGTAAATATTAATATTACTCTTAGGATTATTCTTACTCCTAGGATTGAAGGACTGTTACTGAAGGGATGTAGTCCCATCCCACACTGAATAGGGAAGTGTAATAGAATACTGTGGAAATGACGGAGTGTGACTTCTGAGGCTGAGTCATAAAAGCATCGTGGTTTCTTTCTTCCTTTCTCTTGGATCACTTTCTCTGGGGTGAAAAGTGAAGTAGAAAAAGGCTTTTTCTACTTCAGTCTCCCAAGCCTGAACTTTAACTCCTTTTTCTCCCTTTCTCTGTATATTCAACCAATTACCACATTATATCAAGTCCATTTCCTACTGTCTAAATAGCATTCCATGGGTTTCCAGTGCAGTTCCAAACAACTGAGTCACCAAGCTGCTGTCAGGGTGACCTTCGAAGATATGAACTTGATCATGTCACCACTTTTCACAGCTTCTCATGGCTCATAGTACTGAAATTACCTGGGGAGTGTGGGAATGTTAAAAAAAACATAGGCCCCAGGGGGCCACCCCGGTTTGTACAATGGATTCTGAAATGATTGTCTTAGAGCAGAGAGCTGCACGCAATTGGGAAGCAGTTCAGGGAGGGATTCCTCAACTGTGGATTCTGTGACTCAAGGTGGATGAAAGTTGGTATACCCTCCTAATAAGTCATGTATCCTCCCTTGACTCCTCGTATGCTTTTCTCAACGTTCAGCCTTGTTTTTTATTTCTGAGATGCAGTCAGTACACAGGGATTTGCACCTTTAGGAAACGATGCCAATAAAAATCAACATAAAACCTGGTACTGCCATCTGTAGGTTCTCCTCCAGGAAATAATCCACATTAAAATGACAGCAGCTTAGCAAAAGTATGATATGTAGTTCACCCCAAAACATAACAAATGCATGATCAATTATATCAATTGTGGGAGCAGCTGTTGATGACTGATCAGTTGTGAAAGAGAAGATTCAGATTTAAGCAGGCTCTTTCTGAGAGACACTGATATTTTTCTTGGAGGTAGGAGTATGACAGCCAGGTGGACAGAAATCCCCATCTCTTTGCCTGGATTAAACATCTCTCATGGAAGTGTAATCATCAAATGATCTCACGCTTATGGTGTCCCCAGGTGCCCTGACAAACCTGTCCGGAATATAAGACAGATTACCCTGGGGTGCAGGAATTCAAAGAGGACCTTTCACATTCAGGCTATGCAGGGGAAATTTAAGTTTTGGCATCCGGTTCATCCATTAGTTTCTCATTGGTATGGCTCGTAAGCTAAAGGTTCATAGGGTAGGATAAAGCTCGGAGACCCGCCCTCTGGACCTTCTCCCCCGCCCAAAGAAACACAGCCAGGTGTCGGCCCGCTGTTTAAGAAAGTCCTAGTTCTCTGGTTTCGGTGGGGTACGGTCTCCAGGTTTGTTGACAAAATTGCATAGCATTTTACCATGGGGCAGGTCAAGAGCGCCGGTAAGCATTCCTGCTCGTGGTCCGAGTGTCCTGCGTGGGGATGGCGCTACCTTCTTTTCAGAAGACTGTGACAGCCCTTGTCCCGCGAGAGTGGCCGGGCTGGGAACGACGGCCCAACGCCGGGCCCCTCCCACAGGCAGGCGTCAGGGAAGGTTGAACAGCTCGTGTTCACGGAGCGCCCAGGGAGCTCCACGCCCAGGGTTCGTCCTAGGAGACGCGGACCAAGGTGCCGGCCGCAAGCCCATAAAGGCTGCTGGAGGCGGTAGAGTGGGGCGCGGGAGCCCCGGCCGCGCAGAACACGAAGCCTGAAAGCCGCGCGCCGCCACCGCCCGCCATGAGCGGCTCCCTGCGGCCGGGCCCAAGCGGCTGGCGGAGGGCGGCCTCCGTGGTGCTGGCGGCGGGCTGGACGCACCCAGGCCCCGCCGCCCCGCCGCCCCCAGAGGGCTTCCGGCTGCTGCTGCTGCAGCGCTCCGGCGGCCACGGCTTCATGCCTGGGGCGCACGTCTTCCCGGGCGGCGTGCTAGACACGGCCGACCGCTCGGCCGAGTGGCTGAGCCTCTTCGCGCCGCACCACAGGCCGCCGCGCTTCAGCCTGGGCCCAGCGCCTCCCGCGCGCAACGCCTTCCCGGGGCGGCCTGACGCCGGGGACTCGCAGGGGCGACCGGACGCTGGGGACCCGCAGGTGCTGCCTGATGACATAGCCTTCCGCATCTGCGCCATCCGCGAGGCCTTCGAGGAGGCGGGCGTGCTGCTCCTGCGGCCCCGGGGGTTCTGGGGGCCCAGGGACTCGGCGCCCGCTGCGGCCGAGCTGGGCCGCGCCCTCGAGCCGCCGCCCGGCCTGGCCGACTGGCGCGCCCGCGTCCGCAGGGACGCGCGCCACTTTCTGCGCCTGTGTGCGCACCTGGACTGCACACCCAACATCTGGGCGCTGAGCGACTGGAGCGGTTGGCTCACGCCGTTCACGCGCCCCGGCGGCCGCCGCTTTGACACGACCTTCTTCCTGTGCTGCCTGCGCGAGCCGCCGCCCGTCTACCCAGACCTGGCCGAGGTGGTGGACTACCAGGTAGACCGTCCCCTTGGTGGGGCGTGAGGACCCACGGGAACTGGAGAAGGGGGCCCCGGGGCGCCGCAAAGCCCCTCCCCGAACCCCCGAAAGGCTGAGCCTAGAGAGGCTAGGTATAGCTCGTTCTCAATTTACTGTATGGTTCCGGCCTGATAAACTCAGTAAGTTGAAAGTATCTTAAATCAAAAGTGCATTTATTAGAACTGCCTTATGGAACATTGTAGCACAGTATAGCCGACCTTAGTGTTCAGAGTAGTTACATTAGCCCACAATTGGGCAAAATCATCTAACACAAAGCCAATTTTATATAGTGTTGAATATCTCACGAAATTTACTGAATCCTATACTGAAAGGGAAATGGTTATGAGCGTATCCTTGTTGACTCTCCTGATCCCATGTTTAACTGGGAGCTGCACCTGGGTGCTGCCAGCATCAGAAGAGACTTTCTTACTGCATATCTGTAGCCCAGGAAAACATCCAAATTCAAAATTTGAAGTACGTTTTTTTGTTGTTGTTGAATGCATGTCACTTTGGCACCATTGGAAAGTTGAAAAATCCTGTCAAACTATAAATTGGGGACTGTGTGTACTTTCCTCAGAAACATACAGCCAGTAAGTGACTGAGTGACCACGGGACCGAGATTGTCCCGGCCCTCAGCCCTGCAGCAGGGTCATGGGGAAGTGCTCTCTGTCTCCTGCCCACCCACCTTTTCATCCCAGCAAGGCTGCGGTGGAGATCCCAGTAGCTATGTGGTGCTGCTCAGGCCCCAGCCTCCCTCCTTTCTAAGCACCTTACATGCATTAACTCATTTCATCCCACAGCAGTTTAATTCTGTTTCCTCAGAGTATATACTTTGTGTGGTTCCAGTCTTTTTAAGTTTATTGAGACTTGCTTTAGGGCCACAAATATGGCTTATCTTTGTGAATGTTCCATTTACACCTAAAAACCTTATGTATTTTGTTGTGTTTGGTGGAGTGTTCTTAAAAATGTGAGGTTAAGTTCGTTGATAGGGTCTTTCAGGTCTTCCATATCTTTTACTTGTTCCATCAAATACTGAGAGAGGAATGCTGAAATCTTCAACAAATAATTATGTGTTTTATCTTTTTCTTTTTTCCCTTCTCTCAGGTTTTGCATCATGTATGTTGAGGTGCTGCACAGACTAGTAAAATTTGATGGATTGACACCTTGATTATTATGAAATATCTTTATCCCTGGTAATATTCCTTATTCTGAAATCTGATGTTTATCTTATACTAATATAGCCATTTTACCTTTCATTTGATTAGCAATGGCTTAATATATCATTTTCCATCCTTTACTTTTAACCTATCTTTATACTTAAAATGTATTTCTTGTAGGCAGCATATAGTCTTGCTTTTTTATCTAGTATAGCAGTTTCTGCCTTTTAATTGAATGTTTAGATCTTCTATATTTAATGTTATTTATCAGTAAGGTTAGATGCAAATATACCATCTAGCTGTTAGTTTTTTGCCTGTCCTGTCTATTCTTTGCACCCTTTTTCTTTTCCTATTTCTCTTGGACTGAATATTTTTAGGTCTCTATTTTCTCTCCATTGTTGACTTATTAACTATACTTCTTTGTGGTTGCTCTAGAGTTTGCAGTATACATTTTTCACTTCCTGCATCATGTTAAGCCCTTACAACGATATACTTAGATTTCTCCCCTCTTGTATTTTGCTATTACTGTCATACTTTTGACTTTACTGCTATTATAAACTTCACAATACACTTATTATTTTGTCTTAAACAATCCATTAAAGACTGTGAAAATGAGGGGGAAAAGTCTTTTATGTTTACTTGCGTATATACCACTCAGCATTCTTCATTCCTTTGTGTAGATTTAAATCTAAATCTGGTATCTTTCTGCCTAAAGAACTTTCTCTAATGCCTTGCATTTCAGATCATCTGACAATGAATCCTCTAAATTTTGTTTATCTGAAAAATACTTTATTTGCCCTTGGTTTTTTGAAAGATATTTTGGTTGGGTATAGAATTCTGGATGAACAGGTTGTTTTTCTGTTGGTACTCAAAAGATCTTCCTTATTCACTAGTTTGTATAATTCTTTCGCTGTACAAAATGTTTTGGTGTTTCTGTTTGTTTTGCTGTGTGTAGTTGCTTTAAATACTTCTTAATCATTGGTGTTTAGCAACTTGATTGTGATGTACATGGTTTTTGCTTTGCTTTATTATTTATTTTTTCAAATCTTTTTCACCTCCCCTATTTTCTGGGACTCTAGTTACATGTGTATTGGACTACTTAATAACGTCCTATAGGTTGCTGTACCATGTTCATTTTTTTTCAATCTCTTTTTCTCTTTGCTTTATTTTGAATAGATTCTGCGACTGTTTCCAAGTTTTCTTTTTTCTTATGTACTTTCTAATCTGCTGTAAATAGCATCCAGTATTTTTTTCACTATAGAAATTTTTCATCTCTAGAATTTCATTTAGTTTCTTAAAAAACATTTTCTGTTTCTCTCATGTTCACATATTTCTATATGTCTTTGACCAATGGGACATACTTGTAACCGTAGTTTTAATGTCCTTTTCTCCTAATTCTGTCAGCTGTAATTTATGGATTTCTGTTGACTAATTTTTCTTCTAGTTATGGTCACATTTTCCTGTTTTGTCATGGGTCTTGCAGTTGCTGGTTGGATATTGTACACTGTGATTTTTTTAAATTGAGTACTAGGTTTTGCCACATTCCTTTAAAGATTTTTGCACTTTTCCTGACATGAAGTTAAGTTATTGCAAATAAACTTGATCCCTATGAAGTTTTTTTTTATTACGGTATCACTGATATACAGTCTTTTTTTTTGGTATCATTAATCTACAATTACATGAGGAACATTGTGTTTACTAGACTCCCCCCTTCACCAAGTCCCCTGCACATACCCCATTAGTCACTGTGCATCAGCATAGTGAGATGTTGTAAAATCACTGCTTGTCTTCTCTGTATTGCACAGCCCTCCCTGCCCCCCCCCACATTATACATGCTAATCGTAAGGCTCCCTTTCTTCTTCCCCACCCTTCTCCCTCCCCACCCATCCTCCCCAGTCCCTTTCTCTTTGGTAACTGTTAGTCCATTCTTGGGTTCTGTGATTCTGCTGCTGTTTTGTTCCTTCAGTTTTTCCTTTGTTCAGTAATCTTGTTTTCTTCCGGTAAATTGCAATGGATGGAATTCCTGGGTCAAATGGTATTTCTATTTTTAGTTTTTTGAGGAACCTCCATGCTGCTTTGCACAATGCTTGAACTAATTTACATTCCCACCAGCAGTGTGGGAGGGTTCCCCTTTCTCCAGATCCTTGCCAGAATTTGTTGTTCCTTGTCTTTGGATGTTGGCCATCCTAACTGGTGTGAGGTGATATCTCATTGTGGTTTTAATTTGCATTTCCCTGATGATTAGCGATGTGGAGCATCTTTTCATGTGACTGTTGGCCATCTGATTTCTTTGGAGAAGTGACTGTTCGGATTCTCTGCCCATTTTTTAATTGAGTTATTTGCTTTTTGGGTGTTGAGGCATGTGAGTTTTTATATTATTTTGGGTGTTAACCCCTTATCAGATATGTTGTTTATGAAATATTCTTCCATACCATAGGATGCTTTTTTGTTCTACTGATGGTGCCTTTTACTGTACAGAAACTTTTTAGTTTGAGGTAGTCCCATTTGTTCATTTTTCCTTTGTTTCCCTTTCCCGAGGAGATGTATTCAGGAAAAAAGTTGCTCGTGTTTATATTCAAGATATTTTTTTCTTGTTTTCTTCTAAGAGTTTTATAGTTTCCTGACTGACATTCAGGTCTTTGATCCATTTTGAGTTTACTTTTGTATATGGAGTCAGACAGTAATCCGGTTTCATTCTCTTACATGTAGCTGTCCATTTCTGCCAACACCAGTTGTTGAAGAGGCTGACATTTCCCTATTGTATATCTATCGCTCCTTTATTGCATATTAAATGACCATATATGCTTGGGTTTATATCTGGACTCCCCATTCTATTCCATTATCTGTGGGTCTGTTTTTGTGCCAGTACCAAATTGTCTTGATTACTTTGGCTTTGTAGTAGAGCTAGAAGTTAGGGAACATAATCCCTGCTGCTTTATTTTTCCTTCTCAGGATTGGTTTGGCTATTCGGGGTCTTTTGTGGTTCCATATGAATTTTAGAACTGTTTGTTCCAGTTGGTTGAAGAATGCTGTCAGTATTTTGATAGAGTTTGAATTGAATCTGTGTATTGCTTTAGGCAGGATGGCCATTTTGACAATATTAATTCTTCCTATCCATGAGCATGGCAAGTATTTCCATTTATTGGTGTCTTCTTTAATTTCTCTCATGAATGTCTTGTAGTTTTCAGGTTATAGGTCTTTCACTTCCTTGGTTAGGTTTATTCCTAGGTATTTTACTCTTTTTGATGCAATTGTAAATGGAATTGTTTTCCTGATTTCTCTTTCTGCTTGTTCATCATTAGTATGTAGGAATGCCACAGGTTTCTATATATTAATTTTGTATCCTGCAACTTTGCTGAATTCAGATATTAGTTCTAGTAGTTTTTTTGTGGGTTCTTTACGTTTTTTTTATGTACATGTCATCTGCAAAGAGTGACAGTTTAGCTTCTTCCTTACCAAAAGAAATAAAAGGATGCCTTTTATTTCTCTGTATTGTCTGATTGACGTGGCTAGGACCTCCAGTACTACATTGAATAAAAGTGAGGAGAGTGGGCATCCTTGTCTTGTTCCCCATCTTAGAGGAAAAGCTTTCAGCTTTTCGCTGTTAAGTATGATGTTGGCAATGGGTTTGTCATATGTGGCCTTTATTATGTTGAGGTACTTGCCCTCTATACCTGTTTTGTTGAGGGTTTTTATCATGAATGGATGTTGAATTTTGTCAAATGCTTTTTCATCATCTGTGGAGATGATCATGTGATTTTTGTCCTTTTTGTTGTGATGGATGATATTAATGGATTTTCAAATATTGTTCCATCCTTGCATCCCTGGAATAAATCCCACTTAATCATGATGGATGATCTTTTTTATGTATTTTTGAATTCAGTTTGCTAATATTTTGTTGAGTATTTTTGCATCTATGTTCATCAGGGATATTGGTCTGTAATTTTCTTTTTGTGGTGTCTTTGCCTGGTTTTGGTATTAGAGTGATGCTGGCCTCATAGAATGAGTTTGGTTATTTTCCCTCCTCTTCTACTTTTGAAAAACTTTAAGGAGGATAGGTAGTAGTTCATCTCTAAATGTCGGATAAAATTCAGCGGTGAAGCCATCTGGTCCTTGGGTTTTGTTCCTAGGTAGTTTTTTGATTACCAATTCAATTTCATTGCTGGTAATTAGTCTGTTTAGATTTTCTCTTTCTTCCTGGGTCAGTCTTGGAAGGATGAGGTTTGTTTTTTAAGCAGTTTTGGGGTAGGTCAATAGTAGCCTTTATTCTAAAGCTAATTTACCTGCACTTATAACATGTGACCCTTCTCTGGTCTACTAAATGCCCCTTATATTCAACAAGGTCTCTCCATTGTAGCTGAAGGGAGTTTGGAAAATTCCTGGCCCTTTGTGAGCCCTGGGAATTTTTAATCTTAAAGCTCCCAGGTAATTATTCTTTTTTCAGGAATCAGTGTTTTCCAGTGGCACGTGGTTTCACTTTATGCATATAGAAATTAGTGTTTAGCAGAGATTCAAGGGCAAAGATTCCCTTCTCTGACACATTGCTTTCCAAATTCTAGCCTGTGTGGGCCTTCCCAACCTCTGGTCTGTCTCAAGTCAGTGAAAATCCTATAGTCTGATTAGGTTCTCCATCCTTGTGCTGTAGTCTCGGGATTGCCTTTAGGCAGAAAGTCTTGGCAATAATAGAGTTCACCTCATTTGTTTTCTTTTCTCACCAAATTATAATTAATGTACTTCTCAGTGTCTGAAAATCATGGATTCATAGATTTTGTCCATTCTTTATTATTTTATTAAGTTGGAGGAAGGTAATTTTGGCACTCCTGGCTGGAAGTGGTGGTTCCAATAAACAGTCTTAACCTTGTTTAGCCAAGTGATCCTCAACACAAGTGGATGTTTTGCCCACCCTGCCCCGGGGTACACTGGGCAATGTCTGGAGACATTTTTAGTTGTCACAGCTTGGGGAATTCTACAGGCTAGAGCCCAGGGATGCTGCTAAACATCATCAGTGCACAGGACAGACCCCCACAGGGATGGTCTGGCTTCAAGTGTCAGTAATGCTGAGGTTAAAAAACATAGTAGAAACAGTAGAGTGTAGAGCCAAGCTCCCCACTCCCAAGTTTGAAGCCCAAATTTTCTAGTTAACGGAGCTGCCTGAGTTTCCTCATCTGTAAAATGAGAGTATGCAGGGTTGTGCTAAGGATTGGAAATATTTTATGTAAAGTATTTTGAGCAGTGCTTTACTAATAACAAATAACTAGTAAATGGTATGTTCCTTTAACCTATGGTCTGTATTAACTGGAGTAGGTTGAATTACATGGGTTGATGCCTGTTGTTTAACCCTTCCTCTTGCTTGTTATCGCTGAACTCACATGGAACTGACAAGGCAGAATGCTTTGCAAATAATTTAGAGATTGGGTGGTCCTTTGAGGCCTGAGCTTTGTTTTTCAAAATGCATCCCTGGCCAACTTTAGAATGATCTGCAGTGTCTTGCTGAGCACCATATTGAAGATTTAACAGGTTTCTCAGGGGATGTTTAAGTACATACAAGTTTTTAAACCTTTGTTTGGCCTTTGGTTATCCATGGTAGAAATCAATTTCAACTCCCTGGGTTTGTGTGTGGGAATCTGTTTCTCCCATTGTAAATGGATATGGAGTGTGGGCAAAGTTACAGTATTTCCAGAATCTCTCTGCTGACCTTAGTGCATCTCCATATCAATAGGTGTGTTTCCAAGGAGTGGAGAGAAGGTGATTACAAGGAAGGTGGAGATGTGAGCTTGCCTAGTGACCAGAGAGGTTTTTTTTCTTCTTCTTCTTCCCAGCCAGGGCAGGGAGAGACACAGCCGAGCAGGAGTAGACAGACAGAGCCAGGATTCTTGTAAGCAATGAACGAGTTTCTCCCACTTTATTTTTCCCTTTGACTGATTTTGGCTTCCAAGGTTTATTTTCCCCAGGCTGGGAACACATTTTCCCTCTGGAGTTACATTGAATAAACCAGTTCAAGAAAGATCTTTTGGAGTTATTCCATATTCATTGAATCAGCCCTTTTTGTCTAACTGTGTATGGAAGGAAGGCTTGGGAAGGAGGGCAGGTCACAGTAGTGAGGTCACTTAAGTTAAATAGGCAAACACTGGTCGATACCCTGCTATTACATGCCTTCAGGTGCAGACTGAGTCATGCCTCTCTTCTTGAAAACTCCTGTTGCTCCTCTTTACCCCGATTGTAACATGTGGCACATGTAACATGCTACATTCTGGTTGCTGCAGGCCCCATAGGGTCTCAGAGAGCCTTGTCTTGTCCACCACCAAATCCTCAGCGTCTAGCCAAGGCACCCATTTATAGGAGGAAAAAATGGGCATTAAGTTCTCAATCTGCTGTCGTGCATGTACATGTCAGAGTCTTCTTTTGGGCTTGACCAGAACTACTTTGCGTTTCCAGCATCTTATGCTTTTTATACTGTACAGTTCTCCCAGGTCAACCCTTGATTGAGCTATACAGAGTTACTAGTTCTTACAATCAGTTGACAATCTCGTAAGGGGATCAACTGAGCTTTTTTCACCTAATCTTCTCGTCTCAGAGGACTCTCGCAAGGCACATTAATGAGTTAATTGTACATCTTCAATTAGATCTTAGGTACTGATCTAACAGTCTTACATCTTTCATTGTCTATGGAATGAACCTTAGAAAACCTACCTTTGTCTTCCACAGTGGTCATCTCCATCAGAGGCAACCCAAAGTTTCATATCGAAGAAAATTTGGTTGCCACCCCCACAGTTTTATGAAGTAAAAAGACTGGAAAACTTTGCCTCTATCTCTGATTTGCACAAATTTTGTTTGGATCGTGCCTCAGAAGGGGTGGAAAGATGGCTGCCAATCACATTTGTAACTGCTGATGCAATGATACAGCTTTTACCAGGTAAATCAGTGAAGCATCATATATTCTTCATTTCAGTATTCACATTTAACGGACTGGGCTACATGGCAGTATTGCCCAACACAGAGACATGAATTACAGTCTGTGTTTTATACACTATAGTGGTATTAATTAAATAAGATCAAAGTCTTTAAAATATAGTATTTATTATAACCAGAAGTTCTGTAAGTCACTTTATTTACACATTTTATATAAATATATTTCCTAGACATTGACAAAGTTCTTTCTCATGTATTATCTTACTTTTTTATATCTTAATTTTGAATTATGAAAACTTATAAATTATCAGTTGTTTGATTCAGAATTTGTTGTCTTACTTATGGCAGTGTGTCTCAGTTCTCAGAATAGTGATGGCTGTTACTTATCCTACAGTGGGACAATGTAGTAGTTTTGATGTATAAATGATAATTTCTCCAATTTAACCTTAAAAATATTAGAGCAGCTCACATTGAAACACCAAAATATTTGGATATCAAGGCCAATATTAACATTGACTAAGAAAAAGAGAATCATTAACTAGCATAAAAGTTATGTGCAAATGTTAATGATGAAAAAATACCAGTAATAAATATTTATGTGTCCAAAGAAAATTCTTGGCCGGGGAATGGGGAGCCAAGAGGGTGTCGATATTAAAAGCATAAGAAAGTAACTGAGGTAAGTTCATAAAATTCAGGTTAACAACCATCTCACTTCCAAACACATGACATAGATAAAAATAAATACTGATTTTTATGTCACTAATGTATCAGAATGTTCCATAAAATAACACTTTGTGGAATTACAATATTATTTTTTAGGTGATGAACTGTACTTAGAAGATTCAGACTTTTTAGAAAATCTTTTGTCCACTGAAAAAAAGACTGAAGAAATCTTGAAAGAGGTCAGGACATTTCACCGAATAGTAATATACAGCCGCCATGTTTATAGTATCTACGTGACGGTTCAGTCAAAGTATAAACACGTTTATCCTAAGAACTATGTAGCAAATAAGAACCATTTGTAGAGAACTACTTATATATAAGCTAGCCTACTTGAAGTTATCCTAATGAATAATGTGGTTGACCAGACTTGATTGGAACTTAAAGAACTTTGTGCCTGTAAAAGTTATAGTGCAGTCTTTCATATTTCAAGTGTATTACAAACTGTCTTGCTTATTTTATTCTTTAAACCTTAATAGTATCATGGAAGTATAAAGTATTATGATCTTATTACCAAAATAAGAAAAAAAAAATGTCACAAGTGTTTCCACTTCTGTATTGTTTTATTATGAAAAGTTTTAATAAGATGTTCTCCTGTCATTGTATTTTAACTGTCCAGTGTATTTGTACACGTTGAGGTGCTTAGGAGATGGATCCATGGATGCCTTAGACCCTCTGCTGGAGTTAAGGGATGTCTGCTTACATGGCTAATAGTAGACTGAGACAACCTTTCACTCACAATGGCATTATTTTCTTACTGTGTCTTTAGCTTGATGATTAAAATACAATTCTGTTTAAAACCAAATGGCATTAGTTGTTAGGTTCACCAAAATGGAAACCTCTTCCAGTTAGTTAATATATTCAAGAAATAGAAAGCCATAACAAAAACCATAATATTTTTATTCCAGAGTGCTGGTTAATGAATACATTGATGTTAGAGAGACATAGAACTATCAATCATTTAAGGTGTTTATTAGTGATGTTCATTTTCAATATTTTTAATATGGGTAGTGTTTTCACCTCTTAAGAGGAATATGTTTATTGATTAAAGATGGGAAGTAGTTAGGACACCAATTCTATTTCAGATCTTTGTATTACACATTATATAATGGATTTCATTTTTCATGAAATGTGTTAATTTTCTTACCTACAAAATAGAGATGTTGATAGAGTTTATTATTTAATCCTAATTAGAGCAATACATTTAGATCACTGAGGTTGATAAATAAAAATTTTATTTTCTATGATACAGTAATACAATGTCTTGAAACTTGCAGTTATAAACTCAGGAATAAATACTAAGTTGGTATACATTTTCATTGCCTGTAATTTTGTATTTGTGTGTGTGCTGATTTTTCTGGATGACTTCCATAAGAATCCAAACTGAGTTGACATCAGTATTTCAGGCTAACATGTCTTGTCTTCACAGTTGTTAATTAAAATAAAACAGGAGTGCCCTATAATGTGGTATACAATCAGGACTCAAATGTAAAGGGACTTCCTCTCTTCTAATTTGTGTGTTGGGGGTGGGAAGGCTCATAATTGGGAGTATGTAGTTATTTCATAGTTTATCTTCTCCTCAAACCTTTATTTTTTTTAACCTCTCTGCAACTTTTGACAGTTGCACACTCCCTAGCCACTCCTCTTCTGTCTTCTTTCTTTTCTTCTCCTCTAACTGAACTTTAGATGTTAGAGTCCTTCAATACTTGTTCTTAGACCCTCTTTACTCCTTGGGTGATATAAGCAACTTCCTTTAAAAAGGAAATCACTTGCACTTCATTTCCCTAACTTACAATTTTCTCACCTAAGCAGTTTCACTCAGCACAGTCTTCCCTATATTAGAAATCTACTACACTATTTAAGTTAAAAACCTTAGTCATTCTAGATTCCTCTTTCCTTATTCCTTGTCTAGCACCTCCTGTTGATTCTATTACCCATAATTGCCCTGAATTTCTCACCTCTGCCCTCTGCATTGCTATCACCTCAAAGCCAGTTATCTCTTCCTTAGTCAACTGCACCAGTCTGAGAGCTCTCTCTCCATTTTCATTCTTCCCCACACAATGCATTCTGCCATTGAGTTGGAAAGGTGATCTTGACATTAAAATGTAAGTCATCCTATCATTGTCCTCATTAAAACCCTCCAATAGCTGTTCTTCACATTTAAAAACAAGGTCCCACCTTCTTCCTCTCTGAACTCTTCATTCACCCCTCTCCTACACACTGATTAGAAGAGTCTTCTTTCTGTTAGTGGACTATCCAACAAAGTTCTCTCCCATGAAACAGACATGGATCTCTGAACTATTTTTGTTACTGAGTCTCTTTTTTACTGCAGCCTTAGAAAACCAGATGAGTATGAGCATCCAATATGTGGGTTATTGGCATGTCTAAAAGAATATTCTAGAACAAATAGAAGAAAAGCATTATTTAGAGAGGAGAATACAGTTTTCTTGAGATGAAGAAAAATGTCTATTTTCAGATTAAAGGTCCTGTTGTGACCAAAGCAAAATTAACAAAAATTCTCCAAAACCTGGATGACATTTTGATTACAAAGATAAAGAATGTAGAGATTTTCAGGACTAAAAAGATAAAGATTTCTCGCAAAATTACAAAATCAGGCTTCTGAGTATCACAGCGTAGCAGGACATACTAGACAACACATGTTGAGGGGAAAGTAATTCTCTATCAACCAAGTGATAATTCAAGTCTATATCAATACTTCTATATCAACCATGTGTGAAAGCCACAGAGATAATTCTTTTTATGTGGACTCTGGAGATTCTACCTGTTCTGATAAAATTTGATAGAAATACTATAGATGACTGAAAGACTGATCAGAATAAAAACTTCAACAATGTAAGTGCATACATGGTAGAAGTCCTGATATGAGTGTGGAAATCAATTAAATATAAGAAGTAAAGGTTAACTATAAAGTATTACAAATGTTAAAATTCAAATTTTAACCTAGTTTGTAAAAAAAATTCATAAAAATAATTTGGTTCAATGATCCCAGATTACATATGCTATCATAAACAGGAAGTAGCTATGTGAGGAATAAGAAAAAAGTTGAAGGAATCAATGGCTGCAGTTTAGTGATGATAAACCCTGTTTTAAGTGTTTCTAAATGCACATTAGCTCACAGAATTAAAACTAGAATGGTCACCTTTCAAGTCAGTCAAAAACAAAGCATAACTACTAATGCAAGAGACAGGTAACGCTGAACATGGCAATGAAACAAAAGCCAAAAGCTTAGACTAAAATCATTCTGGTAGGAATAAATATTAACCATGACAATGCACAAAAATAGGGTAAGTTCAAAGATAAATATCTCAAATTAAATATTTTAAAGCAAAATTATGTAAAGGAATTACAAAGAGGACAAATTAAACCCAGAGTTAATAAAAGGAAAGAAAGAATGATTAGAGCAGAAATAAGTGAAATAGAGACAGGAAAACAAAAGAAAGGATTAACAAAATTAAGAGTTGAATCTTTGAAAAGATAAACAAAATTGGCAAATGTTTAGCTAGACTAACCAAGAAAAAAGAGGTCACAAATCAATTAAATTATAAATGGAAGAGGAGACATTACAATGGATGCTACAAGTAGAAAAGATATTAAGTTATTATAAACAATAACACCAACAAACTGAACAGCCTAAAACAAAAGGATAAATCCATCAAACAAAAGGATAACCTATCAAAATTGAATCAGGAAGAAATGGAAAATCTGAACAGACTGATAATGAGTAAGGAGATTGAGTCAACCGGTAATCAAAAACCTCCCAACAAAGAAATCCCAGGACCAGATGGCTTCACTGGCGAATTTTAAAAATATTCAAGGAAGAATTAATGCTAATTCTCAAACTTTCAAACAAATCAAAGAGGAAGGAACACTCCCAAACCTTGATAGAAAACCCAAAGAAGATACTACAAGAAAACTACAGGGCAATACCTCTGATGAATATAGATGCAGAAGTTCTAAACAAAATACTAGCAAACCAAATTTAGCAGCACATTAAAAGGATCATATATCATGATCAAGTGGGATTCATTCCTGGGATACAAGGATGGCTCAACATCTACAAATCAATAAAAGATATATCACATTAATAGTATGAAAGATAAAAATCATAAGATCATATTAATAGATGCAGAAAAAGCATTTAACAAAATTCAACATCCATCCATGATAAAGACTCTCAACAAATTAAACATAGAAGGAACATAGCTTACCATAATAAAAGCCCACAACCAACATCATACTCAATGGTGAAAGGCTGAAGCCTTTTCCTTTATGATCAGGAACAAGAAAATGTTTCCCATGTTCACCACTCCTATTCAACATAGTACTAGAAGTCCTAGCCAGAGCCATCAGGTAAGAAAAAGAAGTAAAATTCATCAGAATTGGAAAGGAAGTAGTAAAATTGTCTCAATTTGCAGATGACATGATTTAATATTTTTAAAAAATCCTAAAGACTTACCCAAAAACTGTTAGATCTCATCAATGAAATCATTAAAGTGGAAGGATACTAAATCAATGTACAAAAAAAAACCCAGTAGCATTTCTATACACTAACAACAAATTATCTGAAAAGGAAATAAAACCCTCCCATTTATAACAGCATCAGAAACAGTGAAATACTGAGGAATAAATGAATCCAAGGAGATGAAAGATCTCTACTGAAAACTATAACATTGGTGAGGGAAATTGAAGGAGATACAATTAAATGGAAAGATTATCCTGTGTTTATGGATTGAAACAAGTAATATTGTTAAAATATTGATACTACCCAAAGTCATCTGTAGCTTCAATGTCTATCAAGATTCCATGATATTTTTTTACATAAATAAATACAATCCTAAAATTCATATGAAACTACAAAAGACCTCAAATAGTCAAAGTAATCAGAAAGAACAAAGACATCACACTTCCTGACTTTAAACTATAGCACAAAGCTATCAAAACAGCATGATACTAGCATAAAAACATACACATAGACCAACGGAATAGAACTGAGAGCTCAGGAATAAATCCATGCCTATACAGTTTTGACAAGGGAGTAAAGAAATTAGTATTAGAGAAAAGGTCTCTTCAATAAATGGTGCTGGGAAAATTGGATATTCTGATGTAAAAGAATGAAACCAGACCCCTATCTAAACCCATTAATAAAAATTAACTCAAAATGGATTGAAAACTTAAATGTAAGACCTGTAACTATAAAACTCTTAGAAGAAAACAGAGAAAAAGCTTATAATCATGGATCTTGGCAGTAACTTTGGATATGATACCTAAGGCAAAAGCAACAAAATAAAAAATAAAGTGGGACATCAAATTAAAAAGCTTTTCATACAGCAAAATAATCAACAAAATGAAAAGTCAACCTACAGAATGGGATAAAATATTTGTAAACCAGATATCAGAGAGGGCTTAATATCCAAAATATATAAGGAACTTATACAATTCAAAACAAAACAATCCAATTTAGAAATGGACAAAGGACCTGAATTAATGTTTCTCCAAAGAATATATTCAAATGACCGATAGGTACATGAAAAGGTGCTCAACATCACTATTAGGAAATACAAATCAAAATCATGATGAGATATATATATATATGAAGAAAATTAAATCACTATCCTGATGAGATATCTGTATTCCCCATGATCATTATAGCATTATTTATTTATTTATTTTTATTAAAGTACCATTGATACACAATCTTATGATGGTTTCACATAAACAACACTGTGGTTTCAACATTCACCTATATTATCAAGTCCTCTCCCCCTCTATTGCAGACCCTATCAGTGTAGTAAGACACTATAGAGTGCTGTACTGCCTTCCCTGTGACCCACCTATATTGTGATTGCTAACTATAGTGACCCTTAATCCCCTTATCCCTCCCCACCCACTCTTCCCAGCCCCTCCCCTTTGGTAACCACGAGTGCCTTCTTGGTGTCTGTGAGTCATTGCAGAATTATTTATAATAACAAAGACATGGGTATAACCTAGGTGTCTACCGATGGATGGATGAATAAAGAAAACATGGCATATATATATACATACATATAGACACACATAACATATATTTATATATACACCCATATATATGATAGCATATTATTCAGGCATAAAAAAGAAGGAAGTCAGAACAAAGGCTCAATACGGCAGTATGAGTAGGGTGGCGAAAATCTCCTCCCAAAACCATATATATTTTGAAAATACAGCAAATACAACTACTAAAAGAGAGACCAGAAGATATAGTACAACAGCCAGGCTACATCTACATCTGCAAGAACTCAGCATCTCACGAAAA